GTTGTCGCTCGCGCATTTCAAAATAAAAGTCTTATATAAGCAAAATAACTTAAAAATGAAACATTTGTTGTTGTTTTTTTGACCACACACTCTGCGACAGACTGAATACGTTCCCGCGACCCACTGAAAATGTTCCCGAGACCCACTTTTTCGTTTTTTAAATAGCGGGTTAAAAAAAACGCACTGAAAACGTATTAAAAGGTGAGTGAATTATAACAGCGCAAACTTTTTCTGTGAGCGTAGTAGTGCTGTTGGTTCTGTTTAACCCTTTAAGGGGACGTGCTGACTGACTGATGCGTGATACCAGCAAACACGGCGTAGCTTTCAGTTATGATGAACTCAGTTTCCATAATTATACATTATTTAGAGATGAAGGTCTGTGGCGCTGCATATAATGACTTTATCTTGCTGGAGTTTACAGCCGTTTCACTTTACTTCAGGACGCATTGATGCCGTAGTCGGCTCCGCAAGTCAATCAAAGACATTCATAAATACTCCTAATAAATGTTGGAGACATACTCACTACATAAACGCACTCAATCACACTTCAGCAGCGTTTATTTGAGGGCGCACAAGAAAATCTGCACTTGAGCAGCGGATATATTTGAGGGCGCGCAAGAAGTTTTGTGCACGAACAGAGGAAATTGGCGCTCAAGCAGAGATTGACATGCTCGCAGGCTATTACATGAATGCAATCTCGACTGAATACTGCGCCCATGCTGGAAAAATCCTAGAGGAAACACTGATGCAAATCCATACTTGACATATTCGGGGTCGTACTTCAGCTTCGTCATTTTTGTTGCAATAATTAAATGAAATTTCAAATGTTCAACGGTACAGTTGTTGCTCGCGCATTTCAAAATAAAAGTCTTATATAAGCAAAATAGGTTAACAATTAAACCTTTGTTTTTTTTTGACCGCACACTCTGCAACCGACTGAATACGTTCCCGCGACCCACTGAAAATGTTCCAGAGACCCACTTTTTCGTTTTTTAAATAGCGGGTTAAAAACACTCACCGAAAACTTAAAGGTGAGTGAATTATAACAGCGCAAACTTTTTCTGTGAGCGTAGTAGTGCTGTGCGTTCTGTTTAACCCTTTAAGGTGACGTGCTGACTGAATGACTGATGCGTGATACCAGCAAACACGGCGTAGCTTTCAGTTATGATGAACACAGTTTCCATAATTATACTTTATTTAGAGATGAAGGTCTGTGGCGCTGCATATAATGACTTTATCTTGCTGGAGTTTACAGCCGTTTCACTTTAATTCAGGACGCATTGATGCCGCGGTCCGCTCCGCAAGTCAATCAAAGACATTCATAAATATTCCTAATAAATGTTGGAGACATACTCGCTACATAAACGCACTCAATCACACTTCAGCAGCGTTTATTTGAGGGCGCACAAGAAAATCTGCATTAGAGCAGCGGATATATTTGAGGGCGCGCAAGAAGTTTTGTGCATGAACAGAGGAAATTGGCGCTCAAGCAGAGATTGACATGCTCGCAGGCTATTACATGAATGCAATCTCGACTGAATACTGCGCCAATGCTGGAAAAATCCTACAGGAAAACACTGATGTAAATCCATACTTTACATATTGGGGGTCGTACTTCAGCTTCGGCATTTTTGTTGCAATAATTAAATGAAATTTCACATGTTAAACGGTACAGTTGTCGCTCGTGCATTTCAAAATAAAAGTCTTATATAAGCAAAATAGGTTAACAATTAAACCTTTCTTGTTTTTTTTTTACCGCACACTCTGCGACCGACTGAATACGTTCCCGCGACCCACTGAAAATGTTCCCGAGACCCACTTTTTCGTTTTTTAAATAGCGGGTTAAAAACACTCACCGAAAACTTAAAGATGAGTGAATTATAACAGCGCAAACTTTTTCTGTGAGTGTAGTAGTGCTGTGGGTTCTGTTTAACCCTTTAAGGTGACGTGCTGACTGACTGAATGATGCGTGATACCAGCAAACACGGCGTAGCTTTCAGTTATGATGAACTCAGTTTCCATAATTATACTTTATTTAGAGATGAAGGTCTGTGGCGCTGCATATAATGACTTTATCTTGCTGGAGTTTACAGCCGTTTCACTTTACTTCAGGACGCATTGATGCTGTAGTCGGCTCCGCAAGTCAATCAAAGACATTCATAAATATTCCTAATAAATGTTGGAAACATACTCACTACATAAACGCACTCAATCACACTTCAGCAGCGTTTATTTGAGGGCGCACAAGAAAATCTGCACTTGAGCAGCGGATATATTTGAGGGCGCACAAGAAGTTTTGTGCACGAACAGAGGAAATTGGTGCACAAGCAGAGATTGACATGCTCGCAGGCTATTACATGAATGCAATCTCGACTGAATACCGCGCCCATGCTGGAAAAATCCTACAGGAAACACTGATGTAAATCCATACTTTACATATTCGGGGTCGTACTTCAGCTTCGTCATTTTTGTTGCAATAATTAAATGAAATTTCACATGTTAAACTGTACAGTTGTCGCTCGCGCATTTCAAAGTAAAAGTCTTATATAAGCAAAATAGGTTAACAATTAAACCTTTCTTGTTGTTTTTTTGACCGCACACTCTGCGACCGACTGAATACGTTCCCGCGACCCACTGAAAATGTTCCCGAGACCCACTTTTTCGTTTTTTAAATAGCGGGTTAAAAAAACGCACCGAAAACTTAATAAAAGGTGAGTGAATTATGACAGCGCAAACTTTTTCTGTGAGTGTAGTAGTGCTGTGGGTTCTGTTTAACCCTTTAAGGTGACGTGCTGACTGACTGACTGATGCGTGAGACCAGCAAACACGGCGTAGCTTTCAGTTACGATGAACACAGTTTCCATAATTATACTTTATTTAGAGATGAAGGTCTGTGGCGCTGCATATATTGACTTTATCTTGCTGGAGTTTATAGCCGTTTCACTTTACTTCAGGACGCATTGATGCAGTAGTCGGCTCCGCAAGTCAATCAAAGACATTCATAAATATTCCTAATAAATGTTGGAGACATACTCACTACATAAACACACTCAATCACACTTCAGCAGCGTTTATTTTAGGGCGCACAAGAAAATCTGCACTTGAGCAGCGGATATATTTGAGGGCGCACAAGAAGTTTTGTGCACGAACAGAGGAAATTGGCGCTCAAGCAGAGATTGACATGCTCGCAGGCTATTACATGAATGCGATCTCGACTGAATACTGCGCCCATGCTGGAAAAATCCTAGAGGAAACACTGATGTAAATCCATACTTTACATATTCGGGGTCGTACTTCAGCTTCGTCATTTTTGTTGCAATAATTAAATGAAATTTCACATGTCAAACGGTACAGTTGTCGCTCGCGCATTTCAAAATAAAAGTCTTATATAAGCAAAATAGGTTAACAATTAAACCTTTCTTGTTTGTTTTGACCACACACTCTGCGACACACTGAAAATGTTCCCGCCAGTTGAGCAACACTGATGTAGGAGCTGAAAGGGGGACGGGATATGACAATTGTTTTATAATCATTTGATCTTTCAGAATAGTTTTCAGCCAAAATCAATACAGACTTAGAATTTTCCACACAGCCCTGTTCCAGCACAAAGTAACCAGCAACTATTTTCCCATTTCCCACTCATTTCAGTATTTTAGTAAAAAGGCACAAATCCCAGAAAGAGCCCGAGTGTTTTATCCGAGCTCCTGCTGATCTGCTAAAAGTTCCTCTGTGGCTTTTATTTCAATAGTAAAACAACAACAGCAAGCTCCAGTGCGCTTAAAGTGTGTGAAAGTAAGAGATGAGCACGGCAGGACTGTAATTCAGGCAAATCAGAGGCTCTCAGCAGAGATTCAGATGCTCACCTAGCTTCTTATAATACTGCTCCCAGGCTTTGGAGTAGTCCATCTGTCCGCTCTGAGAGCCGTTGTGACCTGAAACAGCAGTAAAAGCTCACGTTTTAATGCTGAAGACAGAAGATGCAGGAAAAACACAGAAACACACACTCACTGGGGTCCTGCTGACTCTGAGGCTGCCACGTCTGATAGGTGGTGCCCCAACCTCCGGTCATGAACGTCTGCGGCCCACTGACACACACACACACACACACACACACACACACACACACACACACACAGAGAGATGGAGAGCGAGAGATTAGAGTTCACTGCCATTTCAGCTTCTCTGGCGCTATCATGGCAAAAAACAAACTTTACAAATATTTGACATTATTCAGTTCAATTAATCTTTATTTTTATTATTTTTTAAAGATTTAGTTTTGGCCTTTTTGCCTTTATTAGATAAGACACTATTAAGACAGGACGCGAAGTTAAAGAGAGAAAGAGAGAGAGGTAGGGGAAGAGGGGTGGTGGGTAGGGAAATGTCCTTGAGCCAGAATTTGAACTCGGGACGCCCTGCACCATATGTTGGCACACTAACCACTAGGCCACAGGTGTCAAACTCAATTCCTGGAGGGCCGCAGCTCTGCACAGTTTAGTTCCAACCCTGATTAAACACACCTGATCAAACTCATTGAGTCCTTCAGGCTTGTTTGAAACCTACAGGTAAGTGTGTTGGAGCAGGGTTGGAACTAAACTGTGCAGGGCTTTGGCCCTCCAGGAATTGAGTTTAACACCCCTGCACTAGGCTATAGCACAGACTCTATAGCGCTTTCACAATGTAGATTGTGTCAAAGCAGCTTCACATACAAGATTATAGTGAATTGAAACAGTGTCAGTCCAGTTTTCACTGCTGCGAGTTCGAACACTGAAGAGCAAATCATATTCAATCAAGCATTATGACTTTTCTATAGCAGGGGTGCCCAAACTTTTCAGCTTGTGACCCCCAAAATAACAATTCCAGCGACTCTGAATAATTTAATTAAAGCAATCTGCAGTAAAATGTCTAACAGCTGTGGTGAAATCAACATCTCTTTGCAATAAAAGACCTAAATATATTTACAAATTATTTAGATAGATCGTTTGGTGATTGGATGGGTGTCGGTCAACTTTTAAAATAAAGACTGGTTCAAAATTAAGGCCACAACATTTCTGTGAATTTAAGACTTTAAAGCAGGTCGCACACCAGAAGCGCCGCTCGGCGCCGCGCCGCCCAGCGCCATGTATTTTAGAATTCTTAACATAGGTTTCTATCAGGATACACACACCGGCGCCGCAATGCGGCGGCGCCCGTTCACGGCTCAGGACGCAGTTCATTTTTCAGCCGCGCCACAGAGCGCCATCTGATTAGTTTCATGTTAAATTTCATTCGAATGTGCGCGTCTGATGTGCGATACTTTAAATTGTCATGTACGCGCCGTGTCGCAGCGTCGAGCGGCGCTTCTGTTGTGCGACCTGCTTAAGACCCTGCGGACACCCTGTATACAATGCCAGAATGCCATATAATATTATCATAATGCAAGTACACTCCTAGAACACATCATACTTAATTATTAAGACTATTTCATTTAATTATAGTCATTTTAACTATTTAATATTGAGGCATTGGAATCAGAATGTGAAGGCGTATGTCCTAAATAAATAATAATGTATGTAAACACTAAAGTGCAAGGTAAGGAGTAACTGCTGATGATGGATCTGGCAGCAGATATTGCAGCCTCTGTTAGACACACACACACATCAAAATACACTACAGTAATTTATAGTATATACTGTAGTGTTCAAAACCATACTGACACCTCCAATAGATTTCTCCAACACATGTCTAATCATAATAGTGTTAATAACTCATCTCTAATATCCGATTTATTTCCTCTTTGTCATGATGACAGTAAATAATATTAGACTAGATATTCTTCAAGACACTTCTATACAGCTTAAAGTGACATTTAAAGGCTTCACTAGGGTAATTAGGGTAAAGTTAGGGTGATTAGGCAAATTATTGTATAACGATGGTTTGTTCTGGAGACTATGGGGAAAATATAAAGAGGCTAATAATATTGAGCTTAAAATGGCTTTAAAACAATTAAAAACTGCTTTTATTCTAGCAGAAATAAAACAAATAAGACTTTCTCCAGAAGAAGAAATATTATCAGACACACTGTGAACATTTCCTGAATCTGTTCAACATCATTTGGGAAATATAAAAAATAAAATTCAGGGGGGGGGGGGGGGGATAATTCTGACTTCACTGTACATGCTAAATGCGAGATGCAATGTTTCATCACTGTTTTCAAATGCACCTCCTCCGTCTTGTTTCCTCCAAATGAAACCGTTAGCATGACAACTTTCTAAACAAAACAAAAAAAAACCCTCGAGAGAAACTCTACATTCTGCTCAGCTCATGATCTCTGGTAATCTGAGACGGCAGACAGAAGAAATAAACTTTGCTCACTTCTGATGAGGAGTCGCAGGTCCTTGAGTGAAAGGACTGAGTCCAAAACTGCTGTTTCCTCCCATTCCAGACGCCTGCAGAAAGTAAAACACCGTCAGTAAGATTGACAAACACAACAACTCTGGAAGAAATTAACTCTTCATGTTATGCAGATTACAAAGCCTCAATAACAATCTGGCAGTTTAGGGAAAAAAGGCAGAAAACTGAGAAGTAAGCCTTGTATAGGTCTGTATTATATTCAGTTTAATTCAATTTATTTTGATTTATTCTAATTAGAAAAAAATATTTAACTTTATAATTTTTTTATTGCATTTCTGTATTTTATTGTTATGTAATTTTTATTAATTTAATTTATTTTAATTAATTTAAATTTTATTCAATTTAATTAACTATTTTTATGTTAATTTTATTTTAATTAAATTTATTTTATGTTAATTTAATTTTAACTATTTTTATTGTATTTTAATTGTTATGTTGTGTTAATGAAATTTTAATTTAATATTAAATTTTAATTTAAATAAATTAAACTAAATTTAATTAAACTAATTTCAATTTAATAAATTTATAAATAAATTTATTAATTAGTAAATAATTGTGGTAATAAAAAACTGATGTAAGCCTTGTATAGGTCTGTGTTATGTTATTTTTAATTCAATTTTTAAAAATTAAATTTCAACCATTAATTTTTTTATTGTATTTTATTTTATTGTTATGGTATGTTAATTTTAATTAATTTAATTTATTTTAATTAATTAAAATTTTATTAAATTTAATTAACTATTTTATTGTATTTTTTATTATGTTATGTTAATTTCATTTTCATTAATTATTTTTTATTTTATTTTAATTAAATTTTAAATATTTTTATTGTATTTTATTTCATTTTTATGTTAATTTAATTTTAATTTATTATTTAATTTTAATTGAAATAAACTAAACTAAATTTAATTAAACTAATTTCAATTTAATTTATAAATAAATGCATCGATTAATAAATTATTGTGGCAATAACAATCTGGCAGTTTTAAGAAAAAAAAGGCAGAAAACTGAGATGTAAGCTCTGTATAAGGTTGTGAAAAATAGTAAATAGATAGAGAAAAAAGGTACTTGTAATTATTTGTATTTAGAATTAATTTTCAAAAATTTTACAAATGCGAGTTTATTGGGCAATTTTGCAATTTTGGCTATTTTTGTAGATCTTAGAATTTGAACAATTGAAAATAGTCTTGAAACTCATTTCTACACTTCGTATGCATTTTGTTTTTACCAATTAACATTTCTTAATTAAATGCGTTTACATTTACATGACATTATTATTTTGATTTTAATGTTATGTTTATGTTAATGTTCTGCATTTGACATTCATCTGTATTATTTGCAAATAAATCAATAAGAAGTTAAAATCATAAAGAACAATGCAGGCTCTAGAAATTAATAAAGGCAGCCCATCATTAATTATTACATTACATAACTCAATGAACCAACTATTGAATATTCTGATGTGATTTTTGACCGTTGTAGCGGTGAAATAAGCATCACAAACAATGCAAATGTCAGAAATCACCATCTTTGGTGTCCGGTAATTGATTCTGATTGGTTGAGGCATGTCCAAAGTAAGGAATAACAAACGACAAGCTGTTGAACTATTAGAAAATAATACACCTCAGCTGTGCCTTATAGTCTAATAATCCAGCATCCCGCAAGGGATTATTGCTCTCCTCATCTGGTCTCCGGCACAACAGCTGATTTTACAGTGGGTAACACAATCGCCTCACAGCAAGAAGGTTGCAAGTTCGAGCCCCGGCTGGGTCAGTTGACATTCTGTGTGGAGTTTGCATGTTCTCCAGGTGTTGGCGTGGGTTTCCTCCGGGTGCTCTGGTTTCCCCCACAAGTCCAAACACTTGTGGTATAGGGGAATTAGGTAGGCTAAATTGTCCGTAGTGTATGAGTGTGAATATGTGTATATGAGATGGATGGCAGCCGGAAGAGCATCCGCTGCATAGAACATATGCTGAATAAGTTGGCGGTTCATTCCGCTGTGGCGACCACAGATTAATAAGGGGACTAAGCAGAAAATAAAATAAATGAATAATATTGTATGTTAAGAATCTCCTCCAAAGACTTCAGTTGTGTTCTGGTGTGAATGTTGTAGCTGTGAAATAACTAATAATTCAGCGACTGGAAATGTTCCTCAGAGATTTTGCTCCATATTGTCATGATAGCATCACACAGTTGCTGCAGATTTGTCGGCTGCACATCCATGATGCCAATCTTAGAGTGAGCATCAGCCAATCAGAATCAAGCATGTAGTGTAAATGGTAGTATACTTCTAGTGTGTGTGTGTGTGTGTGTGTGTGTGTGAGGAATGAAAGCGTGCGCACCCCGATCTTGTCGTCAATCAGCTGTCTGGCCATCTCCATCTGCTGAGGGGATCCGCGGATGGAGAAAATGCGCACATTGGGGTCGGTGTTGGGCGGAGGGTTTCTCTGCAGCTCCACATGAGCGCCGGACTGCTGGTTGATGTTCTTTATGGTCTCTCCACCTGAACACACACACACACACACACACACACGTTTGTTTTTGTTAAAAGTGGGGACATTACATAGGTTTCCATTCATTCTATACTGTCCAAACCGTATATTGTATTGCCCTCACCCCACCCCTAAACCCAACCATCACAGAAGACTGTGTGCAGCTTTACTCTCTGATCAAACTCATCCTGTGGGATTTATAAGCATTTTGAGAAACGAGGACGTCACCAATGTCCCCATATTTCACCCCCTTTTTGTAATGCCTGTGTCATACCCATGTCATTATACAGATTGTGTCCTGATATGTCACAAAAACACATACACACACACACCTTCAGAGCGTTTCTGACAGGACTTTTCAATGACTTTCTTAATTGCATTTTAAATGACAGACTCAAACAGTTGCATGGATGTTTGAACAGCTGGGATGTTTTCAGTGTATTTAATAAATAAATAAATAAATAAATAAATAAATAAATACACACCAAACATGAAACTCCTCATGCTCTCTATAAATCAAGTGAACTGTTGTTTTGTGGCTGTAGATAGGGTTGTTCTCATACTGATAATAGTATCGGAAATGCTCTGTGATACCGATAGCCAGAATTTCTGCAGTATTCCCGATATTTAAAGCCATAAACCAATCTGATATCATCTTTTTAAATGACTTATGCCTGCAAGCTTTGCTTAATACCGCAAGCCCAGAGTCCATTCCTCTGAGCGGAGAGTAACACTCCATTCCATTTATTTTCCTCTTGTTGGTGTCCGAGGAGGAATCCTCTTGCCGACACAAAGCACCACTGAAAGCCTCCACCATCCGGGTACAGTTTCTGGAGGAGTGAACTCACAGAGCTGCTGGATCTACTGGGCTCCAATTGAACATATACACCGTTTATAGCCTTCGTAAAGCACATAAACACAGATTGCAAATGTGAGAACAGAGGCGAACTATCATCCAGTGGGTGAAAGACACAAAGTATGTGATGCGTTTGCTGCAAATGTTCGAAATTTTGCCTTATTTCCGTCTTTCACGTTTATTGTGAACCCAGCCGTGTTGAAAACACCAGAGTTAGTGTGGACAGGGCCTGAAGCACACTGTAAATCAATTCTGTGAATTTATACAGGGCGAGAAGTAGTAGTATACACAACTGTTCCTACAGATACACACTCAGTTATTAGTTCAATACTCGTGCGTATCGGAAAGGAAAAACTGTAGCTGTAGATGTGAAGAATGTTCTGACCTTTTCCGATGACCAGGCCGCATTTATCAGCCGGTATTGTGTAGGTGACCTCCTGCAGGCCTCCAGGAGTGCCGATGTTCCAGTCTCCACGACCCCTGCCACGACCCCGGGGCCCGAGCGGACCCCCAAAACCATCACGCTCCTGCAAAACACACACACATACACACACTGAGCATCATATGTCGGACTCTCAAACACACACACACACTTTACTTTTACTAGCAGATCACATTTACATCACCTACACCTCCATCCTTTCAACTCTTAAAAAGTTGTAAATGTCTACTTAGATTTTGTCAGCGATTTTTATGTTGCTGATTTCACTTTAGTAATGATGATCTTCTAGTTAAGAAGAGCAGCAGAGTTTTAAGATGGTGAGCAGAATCTGTCATGAGGACACACAGCTAAAGTTCACTGAACTTCACTAAAGATACAAGCAGAGCTGTTACCTGTGCCGTCTGCACCAGCTCATTGATGAGGTGAACCGCGTGCTGACACCGCTCTGGCTGACCCATGACTTGAGCCACCCGGTCCGGACTGATGCCATCATCTGAAACACACACATTAGGATATGAGATCAGAGTGAAGAGCAATAAACCTCAATGGGACAAAAACAGCCACGAACATAACCATAATGGAGTCAATTTGCCCAGTGTATTGTTGAGGTTACCCAGTTACAGTCTACTCGGTTACCATCAGTCAACTTGGTTAGTCAACTCCATTACCATCAGTTAATCGGTTACCATCAAGTCAAGATGGTTACAGTCAAGTCAGTTACAGTCAATCAACTCTGCTCGTATCAGTCAAGTCGGTTATCAAGTCTGTTACGGTCTACTGTTACCACCAGTCATCTTGGTTACTGTCAAGTCAGTTACTGTCAAGTTGGTTACCATCGAGTTAGTCAAGTCGGTTACCGTCAAGTCAGTTACAGTCTACTCTTTTACTATCAGTCAAATCGGGAACCATCTACTCGGTTACCATCAGTCAACTTGGTTAGTCAACTCCATTACCATCAGTTAATCGGTTACCATCAAGTCAAGATGGTTACAGTCAAGTCAGTTACAGTCAATCAACTCTGCTCGTATCAGTCAAGTCGGTTATCAAGTCTGTTACGGTCTACTGTTACCACCAGTCATCTTGGTTACTGTCAAGTCAGTTACTGTCAAGTTGGTTACCATCGAGTTAGTCAAGTCGGTTACCGTCAAGTCAGTTACAGTCTACTCTTTTACTATCAGTCAAATCGGGAACCATCTACTCTGTTACCATCAGTCAACTTGGTTAGTCAACTCTATTACCATCAGTTAATCGGTTACCATCAAGTCGATTACCATCAAATCAAGATGGTTACAGTCAAGTTGGTTACAGTCTACGGTTAGCAACAGTCAACTTGGTTACAGTCAAGTCAGTTACTATCAAGTCAGTTACTGTCAATCAACTCTGCTACCATCAATCAAGTCGGTTAGTCTACTGTTACCACCAGTCAACTTGGTCACTGTCAAGTCAGTTACCGTCAAGTCGGTTACCATCAAGTCAGTTACTGTCAATCAACTTGGTTATAGTCAAACTGGTCACCATCAAGGCAGTTACAGTCTACTGTTACCATCAGTCAACTCTGTTACAGTCAAGTCAGTTACTATCAAGCCAGTTACTGTCAATCAACTCTGCTACCATCAATCAAGTCAGTTAGTATACTGTTACCACCAGTCAACTTGGTTACTGTCAAGTCAGTTACCGTCAAGTCGGTTACCATCAAGTCAGTTACTGTCAATCAACTTGGTTATAGTCAAATTGGTCACCATCAAGGCAGTTACAGTCTACTGTTACCATCAGTCAACTCTGTTACAGTCAAGTCAGTTACCATCAACTCGGTTACAGTCAAGTCAGTTGCCGTCAATCAACTCTGCTAGCATCGGTCAAGTCGGTTATCAAGTCTGTTACAGTCTACTGTTACCACCAGTCAACTCGGTTACTGTCAAGTTGGTTACCATCAAGTCAGTTACCGTCAATCAACTTATTTATCGTCAAATTAGTCACCAAAGGCTGTTACAGTCTACAGTTACCAGCAGTCAACTCTGTTACCGTCAAGTCAGTTACCATCAGTCAAGACGGTTACCTTCAGTCAAGTCGGTAATAGTCAGCTCTTTTACCATCGGTCAACTCGGTTACAGTCTACTTGGTTACTGACCGTCAACTCTGCTAGTCAGTTACCATCAAGTCGCTTACGTCTTTTGTTAAAATGAGTCAAGATGCTTACCATCAAGTCAGATACAGAGAAGTTGTTACCGTCAAGTCTGTTACGGTCTACTCTGTTACCAGTCATCTAGATTAGTCTACTCAGTTACTAACAGTCAACTCTGTTACCGTCAAGTCGATTACCATCAAGTCGGTTACAGTCTTTTTTGTTACCATCAGTCAACTCCGTTACCGCCAAGTCAGTAGACTGTAACTGACCTGTTACAATCAGTCAATCGTTTACAATCAAATCGATTACCAATCAACTTGGTTACCGTCAAGTTAGTCACCATCAAGTCGGATAAGTCTACTGTTACGATCAGTCAACTCAGTTACAGTCAACTCAGTTACCATCAAGTCGGCTACAGTCAAGTCAGTTACCATCAAGTTGGTTACCTTCAATCAACTCTGCTACCATCAATCAAGTCGGTTATCAATAAGTCGGTTACAGTGTACTGTTACCACCAGTCAACTTGGTTACTGTCAAGTCGGTTACCATCAAGTCAGTTATTGTCAAGTCAGTTATTGTCAAGTCGGTTATGCGATTACAGTCTACTTTGTTACTTTGACTGTTTCCATCAGTCAAGACGGGTACTGTCAAGTCAGTTAACGTTAAGTCGGTTACAGTCTACTTTGTTACCATCAGTCTACTCAGTTACCGCCAAGTCCGTAATCATCAGTTAGTTACAGTCTACTCTTTTACCATCAGTCAAATTGGTTACCGTCAAGTCAGTTACAGTCAACTCCGTTACCATCAAGTTGGTTAAAGTCTATTCTGTTACCATCTGTCAAGTCGGTTACCATTAAGTCAGTTACCGTCAATCAACTTGGTTACCGTCAAGTCGTTCACCCAAGTCGTTTACAGTCTACTGTTACCATCAGTCAAGTCAGTTACCATCAAGTAAGATACGTCATTTATCGTCAGGTCAGTTAACAGCCAAGTCAGTTTTGTTCACTTTGTTACCATCAGTAAAGACGGTTACAGTCTACTGTTACAGTCAACTCTGCTACTGTCAAGTCGGTTACGTCTACTGTTACCATCAGTCAAGACGGTTACCCTTAAGTCAGTTACCATCAAGTCTGTTACTGTCTACTCTGTTAGCATCAGTCAACTCCATTACAGTCTACTCGTTTACAGACAGTCAACTCTGTTACCGTCAAGTCAGTTACATGTACTATGTTACCATTAGTCAATTCGGTTACACCTACTTTTTTTCTTTACCATCGGTCAAGTTGGTTACAGTCTTCTTGGTTACCGTCAACTTAGTTGCAGTCTACTCTATTACCATCAGTCAACTCTGTTATCGTCAAGCCGGTTATGCCTACTCCGTAACCATTAGTCGATTTGGTTATGGTCAAGTCAGTTACCATCTACTCTGTTATCATCTGTCAACTCTGTTACCGTCTACTCAGTTACTATCAGTCAATTTTGTTACCATCAGTCAAGTTGGTTACAGTTTACCGTTTACCATCAGTTAAGTTGGTCACCACCTGGTTAGATGAAACTGCATTTCGTTGCCTTGTACTTGTACATGTGTAATGACAATAAAGTTCAATCTAATCCAATCTAAAAGAATGAGTGACAAATATGAGCATTTACCCCAAACCACACATCTCTGCTCATTTTAAGTGTCTGAATTAGTATCAGTTTTATTTTACTTCACAAAGAGTTTACAAAGTTAACACTGCTTTAATTAAATGCAATAAAATACAGTTAAATGAATTATGCCTCATTTAAGCATGATGTACATTTCATCCTCGGATAATTAAAGCCACTTCTCTAAACTAAGCACAACTTACAGCCATCAGAGCAGACTTTAATTCAGCTACACGGCACCGCAATTGTCTAGCTAATTGCTTTCTGATGACTTATTATTTATTGATGCTAAAATGAATAAATAATGACATTCAAATGGGAAAATATCGATGCATTTTCCATCCGGGTGCAGAAAATGAATGCAGGTGCATTTCATTACACTGAAAAAAATGACAATTAAATACAATAAACAACATTTAAAATTGAACAATCAGTGTAGATTATTAAAATATAAATAAAAGTAATTTTAAAAGCATTAAATACAAAAATGTTTAACTATTTTACAATTAAATAAAATGCATTTAATTTTGATTAATTACCATTAAAAGAATTGATTATACATTAACTACTACAAACAAATTCAAAGTTTCACATATTATAATGTAAAAAAACAATATTCCACACATGCTTACACATTTATTTGTTGTTTATACTGATTATTATATCAAATTCAGCACTGTACTACTTTACAGCATTAAAATCTGACCAGCATTTGTAACGCAGCAGGTGAATAAAGTCAACAGGTGCTACAGAAGAAGAGCGGAGCTGCATGAATATTCATGAGGAGTAGAGTAAACAGTGTAAACATGCGAGAGAACAGCAGATTAATCCTCTGGTAAACTCCTTAACGCTGCAGTGATCCTGCACGACTCACAGTCTGAGGAGATCTGATCATCCGCTGCACACACAAGTATACACTCGTACAGGTGTATACGCTCAGGTACACAAAACACACAGACACACGAGCAAACAGACACACGAGCGCACACACACACATGGGTAAAAACAAAAACAGTCATTTGCACAGGTATGCAAACACACAGATAGACAGACAGACAGACACACAGACACGTGTGTACTCACACACACACACACACAAAGGTATGCACAAACAGGTATACAAACACACACAGACAGACGTGTGCACACAGGTAAACACACACATGTACGAGCACACACAGGTGCACAGACGTGCACACAGGTATTCACAGAGGTATGCAAAAAACATTTATACAAACACACAAAATGATGCTCCCGCACACGCGTAAACACACACACATGCACAGACACACTTATAAGCACACATCCATACAAAACACACACAAACAGGTACAAACACACAGGTATACAAACAAAAACACGTGTACACACACAAACACACAAACTCACACAAGCCATACAAACACACAGATGATCGCGCACACACACACAGGTATAAAAACACACAAGCAGGTACAAACACACACACACACACACACACACAGTTACTCGCCCACATACAAAAACCACACCTGAATCAGCATAAATGTGATGCTAGTGCTCTGATGTGACTCTGACCTGGTTTGAACTGGATCCTTACGCCGGCGTCGTTCTGGATCTTCTTGATCATTTCTCCATTTCGGCCGATGACGATCCCGACCGCAAACCTGGGCACTGCCACCTGTGTGTGTGTGTGTGTATATATAACAGCGATATTAGCTAACAAACACCTCTACTGCTACTCAGAATAACACAAACAATAACTCTCAGCTAGCTGCTGTGGAAATACTTCTCACTTTAGTTTAACTTTGTTTACTAAAATGACAAAGTAATAAAAATATCTATAACGTTTCCAAAAAAAATTTATAATTTTAAATCAATTAAATCACTAATTAAAAGTTTGAATTAAAAGTTGGTCAACCAGACAAAACCTATTTATAAAAGTGATAATTAAAAACAAAATATATAAAAACCACTAACTATTACTGTAAAATTAAAGTTTTTTTAACTTTAAATTACGTTTTGGCCCATTAAGCATGATTTAAGTATCATAGATGTTCAGAAATGGTACAATTTTATATATAAAAAAAAACCCTGTGTTTTACAGTGGACCTAATAATAAAAACAAAAATGGGCCGATGTATCGGTTTACCATTAACTATTAGGGCAAAATGATGAGAAGTTTTAAAAAGCATATTGCTTAAATATACAAAAAAGTTATCTTGGCCAAACAAGTAAATATATTCACAGAAGCATGAATTCAAAATAAGTGTTATAAAAGTTTGGAAGTTGTACATGTCATTTGTAAATAAAAAATAAAATAAAAATCAGCCTCCAATACAGTTTGACTATTAAGAAAAACTGTGGATTCAATAACAAAAAGACAAAAAAAAAAAAAAAAATCAAATATGGGCCGATATATCGGTTTACTGTTAAATATTAAGGCAAAATGATGAGGCATTGTCAGTTTTAAAAAGCATATTGCTTAAATATACAAAAAAGTTATCTTCACCAAACAAGAACATATTTGGAGGAGCATGAATTCAAATAAAGAAATAAACCGATATATCGGGTCAACCAATAATTATGGTAAAACTGATGAAAGTGTTACAAAAGTTTAGTAATTGTACTTGTCATTTATATATATATATATATATATATATATATATATATATATATATATATATATATATATATATATATATATATATATATATATATATATATATATATATATATATATATATATATATATATATATATATATATATATATATATAGATATATATATATATATATATATATATATATATATATATAGATATATATATATATATATATATATATATATATATATCTATATATATAGATATATATATATATATAT